TCACCGAAGAATACAAGTGCATCAAAGAAAGTTTGGTGAGATACCTCGCAACCGCCAGAGAACTACTAGGACAATTCGAAGTGGTTGGCATTTCGCACGTGCCCAGGATAGATAACCAGGAAGCCAACGAATTGGCGCAAATCGCCTCGGGATATAAGGTGTCGAAAAAGAAACTGAGAGCACTAATTGAAGTTAAGGTCCATTCAACAGATAAGTCGTTTGAGGATCAGAAAAGTGGTGAAAAAGACAGCCAGTTGGGAATAAGGAATAGCAGTAGGCACCATGGCGCGATCCTTGCGATAGATGAATTGTCTCCGACAGATTGGAAAAAACCGTTGGTCGAATATCTGACGGAGCCGACAACAACTACCGACAGAAAAATCAAATACCAAGCATTAAGCTACGTCCTAATAGGAGGCGAGTTATTTAAGAAGATGCCTAAAGGAGTATTTCTCAGATGTTTGGAAGTGGCTGACGCGTATTTGGCAATATCCGAAGTACATGGTGGGGCATGTGAAGCTCACCAAGTCGGCCAAAAGATGAAGTGGGTATTGTTTCGATTGGGAATATATTGGCCAAAGATGCTCAAAGATTGTATAGATTTTGCAAAAGGCTGTTAATAATGTCAGAAGCACGCCGACATTCAAAGGGTACCGGCTAACGAACTACATGCGGTAGTCGAACCATGGCCTTTTCGAGAATGTGCTTTGGATATAATCTGAGAGATTCGACCCGCATCCTCTCAACAACATAAGTTCATCCTTGTCGGTATCGATTATTTTACGAAATGGATTGAGGCCATACCTTTGTCGAAAGTGGACCAAGAAGCTGTTATCAGCATTGTTTAGAAGCACATATTACATAGGTTCGGCACTCCTGAGACGATCACTACAGGTCAAGGGTCAGTGTTCGTTGGCCAGAAAATGTAGCAGTTCGCAATAGATGAAGGGTTCAAACTGGTTACTTCGACCCCGTATTATACCCAAGCAAACGGTCAGGTCGAAGCAGCTAACAAAGTGATAATCATACTTATTAAGAAGCACATGGCTGAGAAACCTAAGAATTGGCATCAAAAGCTGGATCAAGTGGTGTGGGCTTGTCGAACGTCTCCAAAAGAATCTACCAGAACGTCGCTGTTTCGTTTGGTGTTTGGGCATGACGTCGTTTTGCCAGCAGAGATTCACCTACAATCAGTGTGTACTCAACCGCAACATGAGATCCCGTCGGAACGATATTGGGAGATGATGATAGATGAACTGGTGGACTTAGACGAAGAAAGAGTAAAGGCACTCGACACATTACTACATCCGAAGACACGAGTAGCCCAGACACATAACAAGAGGGTCCAAAGAAAGTTTTTCGTAGTTGGGGATTACGTATGGAAAGCAATCCTTCTGATGGATTGAAAAGATCCAAAATATGATAATGGTCACCAAATTGAGAGAAGCCATTCCAAGTATCCAAAACATTCAGTCACAACGCCTATGAGATCCAGGAAGTCGGAGGAGACCGACGAATGTGGAAGGCCGACACAAATAGAAATTCCAAACATGGTATGGGTAATTTATAAGTTATATGATTTATTTTAATATTTAACCGATATTTCATCTGACTAATTAGTTTTAAAACTAAATCATGCATGTTATGTTATATTATGTAGTACTTTGATGAATTCAAGTGTGGTACTTACTCGAAAGACAGATTGGAAGAAATTAAGGAGGAATGGTGTCAATACATTCTTGAGTTGAGAATTGTATAAGGTATATATATATATATATATATATATATATATATATATATATATATATATATATATATATATATATATATATATATATATATATATATATATATATATATATATATATATATATATATATATATATATATATATATATATATATATATATATATATATATATATATATATATATATATATATATATATATATATATATATATATATATATATATATATATATATATATATATATATATTGTCAAATATTGATGCGGAATAATTATATTTCTGGAAGTCGTATGTAGTTTTGGAATTATATGTATAGTGAATGTATTTATAAAGTTATTGGTTTTGTAATTATATGTATATTGACTGTATTTGTGAAGTTGTTGTGAGGATCGGCTTGTGTTGAATTATAAGCAGGTTTATGTGTTGAATTACAATGATTACGGTATATATAAGGCCAAAGTGTTGAAATAAAGGTCTATGGTGAATGTAATTGTTATAAGCAAGAGGGTATAGATAGCGCATTCTAAAAGCGCTACTATAGGAGGTGAAGGAAGGGGAAAGACAACACTTTAAAAAGCGTTGCTAAAGGGGGGGGGGGGTATAGGAAGCGCTTTAAAAAGCGCTGCTAAATGGGGGGGGGGGGGGGGGGGGGGGGGGGGGGAATAGGCAGCGCTTTTCAAAAGCGTTGCTAAAGGGGGGGGGGGGGATATAGGCAACACTTTTCTTAAGAAAAGCGCTGCTAAAGAGGGGGGGGGGGGGGGGAATAGGCAGCGCTTTCTAAAAGCGCTGCTATAGGGGGGGGGGGGGTATAGTGAGCGCATTCTAAAAGCGCTGCTATAGGGGGGAAGGAAGGGGAAAGACAGCGCTTTAAAAAGCGCTGCTAAAGGGGGGAGGGGTATAGGCAGCGCTTTTCTTAAGAAAAGCGCTGCTAAAGGGGGGGGGGGGGGAGAAATAGGCAGCGCTTCCCAAAAGCGCTGCTATATGGGGGGGGGGGGATAGAGAGTGCTTTTTTACAAAAACGCTGCTAAAAGATATTCAACAAATACACTTTAGGCAACACTTTTAAAAATCACTGCTAAAGGGGGGGGGGGGATAAAAGCGCTGTTCAAAGTGGGTCTATAGCAGCGCTTTTTCCATAAGAAAACGCTGCCTTTACCTTTAGCAGCGCTGCTAAAGGGCAAAAAAAGCGCTGATAAAGGTCTTTTTTGGCATAGTGATCTCTGGATCATGTTCTAGCGCAAGAGTAAACATCTATTCTTCGTAGCGCACAACTTAAGCCGTAATTTTAGAATATGATTCTTTAGAGGGAGCCAATAACCCGTATGGATCTCTCTACCGGTGGGGGCGGATGAACAACTTCCTTTTATGCTTGCACCATGTTGTCAGAATCTTAAAGTTTCTACTCGACAACTAAATTGAAGGCTAGTCAAGAACGAAAAACGTGGTATCAGCTTCCTCCTTTACGGTATGAAAGCAGATGAAAATGTTAAAAACGTTGTTGTTTCTTCAAGTTTGAAGTTGGTGTTGAACGTTTCGTTAGGGTTGAAACTGATTTTGTATCGTTGGGGTTGAAATGGTGATGTACGTTTCGTTAGGGTTGAAAATCATGTTGTTTCGTCAGGGGTTGTTTCTTGATGGTAATGAATATATGCAACTGAAGAGATAAGTTAGTTAGATATGTGTAATGTGATTAAATGATATCACCACAGTTGTTTCTCAAAACTGTTGTGATATATGATAAAATTTATAAAAAAAATCATGTCTTAAGCAAATAAAATTTTTAAAAAATAATAATAAAATATATCACAATTTTTTTTATAAAAAACTGTAGTGATATAATATTGACATTAATGATATTTGAAAAAAAACACAAGATTTTAAGTTATTAAAATAAAAATAAATAAAAAATATATCATAACTGTTAAAAAATAATTAAAAATAATATCACAATTTTTTTTAATAAAAAACTGTGGGGATATAATATAGACATTAATGATATTTTTAAAAAAGCATAAGATTTTAAGTTATTAAAATAAAAAATAAAATAAAATATATGTCCCAATATTTAATTTAAAGAACCGTAATGATATATCTTTCTTTAATTAAATATAAATGAAATGCGATGTTAAATTTTGAAGAAATCACGAAATAGTAGGCGCTGAGAGTAGAACTCATGAAACGTCAAATTATATAACTATGGTTGTTTTAGAAAGTGGTGGTAATAACTTAACAACGTTTAATAAAAAAATAAAAAATTATATAGGTGCATGAATTTAGAGGATTCATCACGGTCCTTCGAAAAAAAGTAATAATGGTGATGTCGTTGTATCTACTTTTTATAGTAGTGGGATAAACAAAACTTGTGATTTTCAGTATTGAGTTTGAGAATTTATTAGGTTATATGATCTGTATTGTTCAATGTATGTTGAATGATGTTGAATGATTTTCTTTATTTGGAATTATGGTGAATGGTTGTTGTCGTTATGTTTCAATTGAATTTGTTGTTGTTATGTAGACTAGCAAATTTGTGTTGGTATATTGGTGGAGAAGGTTATAGTTTGTTGGATTGATATTGGTAACTGTCTTGAAAGGTTACGATGGTGGTGGTGGTTTTGGTTTATAATTTTAGGATGGTGATGGTGTTGTGAGGTGAGGTAGAATTATGGAAGGTTGTAGGTTATGACACCCGAATAAGTAATAGTGCTCCCTACATTTATTAAAATGACAGTGACAGTGACACCCGTATATAATTTTAAAATATACACTAATTTTCCTCCTTTAAAATGATATATTCTACAAAAGATTTTGGTTACAATAAAAAAAAACATAGATAAATGGCATTTATACATATAATTATTTGGTTGTCAACTAATGATAAGGTTACTAATGAATAAGCTACAACTCTCAATCAATACATACATAATCATAAATGATAAAATTCTATATAGATACAGACGAGTAGGGAAATTAATGTTTCTGAAAAACAGAATAATCATGTACACCTTAATACCATAACTGCATTAAAAGTAATCAAGGAGACACTAGTTTGATGTCATTCAAGTAAAGGAGGTATATTGTTTGAAGTGGAAAACTCCAATAACCTTGGCCATCTTTTTTAAATGTCTTAGTAGAACATAAAAGCGTCACTCATATTAGCTTAGATAATAATAAAAATATAAAAATTTGGCACACTTATATATTAAAAATTAAATCAATCTTTATCCTTCTTATCCATCCATCATTGTAATAT